AAAAAAAAAAAAAAAAGTAAGAATGTATGAGGAAGAGCTAGATAAACTGTAAAACTTCAGTGGTTTCAGGGCAGTGTAACATCACGCTGGCATGAAGTGAGCAAATACTCTGTGGGCTGCCTGTGCCAATAAGGATGTCGCTCATTTTCGTAGATGTTCACAGTTGTAATAGTAACACAAGGACAAATGTTACTCACTTTATAAAGTGGTTGTTATGCATGTAGTACTTCTTAATCTTTTTAAAACAGAACTCTGCAAAGTGGATGATAATGTTGAATGTTACACTTTGCAAATTTGATTCAGAGCATTTCAAAAGAATCAGATCTCTATATGTACTGGCCAAATTCTGAGCAAACCAGCACAGCTAGTTGCTCCTTAGAAGTCAATGCACTTTTATGTTTCAGCATTCTTAAGGGAATGCCTTAGTATACTGCCAGGCTTTGTATGGAATCTCCAAACACAGCTCTTACCTAATACACACAACGTGAAATTGGCAAATAATCCCTGCACATCCCAATACATGATATAATTGTAAATCTTATGCTGAGATCTGTAACACCTTTAAACGTACGTAGTACTAAGAAATATGGCTCACATTTCAGTGGGTTTTTTTCCCATTTGTCTTTTAAGTTTTAAATCTCCATGAGGTAAAAAATCTTTTAGTAATTAGAAATAAATGCATAGCACTGGCTAAAAATAAATAGTAAATAACAGATTCTGCTAAATTTATATTACTAAAGAATCAAAACTATTGGTATATGATGCAATTATAAAATATATAGCAAGGTTCTATTTCTACAATTTCAATTGTGACATTAATACATTAGATTAAATTTTACATGTAAAACTGTAGAAAGCATTAGTCAAGACATTAAGATTATCTTCATTAGCAATAATAGTAATTTAAAAGAGGCACGTAAATAATCCATATAGTTATTAAACTTGAGACATATAACTCATGGACAATAGGCTGTTACTCTAAACCAAGACTTTCCCCCCATTGTATAAGAGCAAGGAAACCAGAAACACCGGCACCAACAGTTGAAGGATCAAACAGGTAGCTAACTCACTGAAATGACTCCCTGATGTAAGTATATACAAATTCATATACTAAAGATGAAATGTGCAATTTAGCTAGCATATCAGTATGTTTTCAGAAAAAAAGAAGAAAACACCAAATCTTATTTTTAAATATACTTTGGAAGTACTAAATTTAAGTGCCTCTATGTACAGTGCCTGAATTTAATGAATCTAAAATTCCAAAAAAAATAAAAATAAAAAACTGTCCAAGGAACCCACACCAATATGGTATAATGTCTAACAGCCTAAATTCTGGTGAGATAAACCTGACTTTGACTCCGGTGTCCCTTAATCTCATTGCCTTTTGATATCCTTATTCATATTAAATTGATTCAGTTAAAATAGGAATATGAGACTGTAAGATAACTACAGTCACAAAAGCAAATACAACTACTATTAATATTATTACCATCACCATTCCTACAATTTACTGAGTTGGCCACTGTTACGAGCATTTTACATATGCGCTTTTATATCAAATGGGAATTAGAATAACTCTCACTCTACAGTTCTGTTACAAAGATTAATGATAATGAAGGGATGTAGGACATTATTAGGTCACAGTAGATGCCCAGTATACAATGGCTACTTTGGGAATTCATTTATCACAAAGGAGTATGAAGTCATTGTGCTTCTGCAGCTAAGAAAATATAAGAAATTAAACCATTTCCCAATATTATACATGAAGCAAGTAGAACTCCTATACTTGTCTGACTTAAGAACGTCAAAATACTATATTGCTTTTTAAGAGAAAAAAAGTGTGATGCAATTTGCAACTTGCTCAGAGCTCATACTGGAGAACTTCCTTCAAAATCACAATCAATAAGCACAAATGTGCAAGTTTCAAAAGGGAAAAGCAATATTGCTATCAAATCATACAGCAGGGACATTTTAGGTAATAATTTTCATCCACTCTTCTAAAAATAAATTGTATTTGTGTGTGTGTGTCAGGGAAGGTATAGGCTTTTCTAGACCACTTTTCAAAGAATATGCATGTATTTTTAAAGAATGACCTATAAGCAGTTTCATGAAATTTTAATATCAAATTCCACTAATACTGAATATGACAACAGAATTATGTAGACACTTTCCCTCTTAATATTAGAATATTCTAGTCACTTACATAGTCTTATTTTTAATCAATGCCTGGAAATTTGAGGAGTCTGACTTTATTTTCAGTTTTTTAAAGAACTTATGAATGGATTCTTTTTTTAAAAAGATGTGGCTATGAAAGAGTGAAACAGAGTGAATGTACCCATTTCTGAAATTATAAAAACAGAAAAGCTTCCTACAAATGTGAATAAAAGTAATAGCCCATTAAATGTCCATGAGTTATTGTATAATGAAAACATTTAATAAAGGGCCATTTACACTGGACACTGTTATACTAATTTATTGCAAAGGGAGAAGGACTAACACAGATCATGAATTTAATCTGCCTAGTAAAGTCCTTGCAAAATCGAATCCCTTACTCACTTTTAGGCAGACTCATTTCTAGGTCATCTAAAAGAGACAGAAACAACTTGCTAAATAACTTTTCCTCTACTGCACTTGAAGACCATATGGATTCACTCCCCTGCTTTCTCCACACTCAGCCAAATAACCTTTTCACAAAAGTCTTATTCTAAGTTTTCAAGAGTTTTTAAAATAAGGTTTTGCCTTTCTTCTCATCTCTCTTTGGTTTCTACACGTTGATTTTAATGGTGAGGCCAAGATGGAAAAAAGGAATAGGAGACTCTTTCAGTGAATATTGAAAGAGTTCCCTTTTTGGTACCTCAGTCTTCATTGAGTGGTAATAGACACCAAAATACTATTGTAGTAGATGAACTACACTCCATATGCTTTTAATTCTGATCCTATGACATGAAGTAGGAAAGACACTAAAAACTAATTTTAGGTATGAAGAAATGTAAAAATTCTGTTAACAAATACTTTGGAATAGTTTCATATACTTTCAACACCTTTTCTCTCTAAATAAAATCAGC